TCCTGGCCAGACCGCCAGCCGCTTGGTCAGGCTGAGGCAAACTCATCTGCTGACAGTGCACATGCCGACCATCCACACAGACAGCTCCGCCGAGGGTGCACTTGAGACGAGACACACGCTCTCTGCAGTAGCAGCTTCACAAGGACCCTCCCTAGATGACATGGTGGTTAATATTCAGAGGTGAGCCACAGTTGTAATGTCAGGATGATCCGTCCGACTTGGCATGAAGGAGACCGTGTCCCCCGGAGCTCTCGGCCCCACACATCGCCTGGGTTCAGATCTAACTCGTGGCAGCTGAGCTCATGGAAAAGCAATTTCTTCAAGTCAAAGATAATCCCCATTTCTTAGCAAGATCTGTCCTCTGTGACCATCCCAAGGCAGAAACTCATTTTTTTTAGAATTTTATTTCTAGAATCATCCCAGATAGAAATCTCGCAGTTCGCAATCTGGTAAACTGTACCGAAAGTCTTAAAAATATTTCTGCTACCCAATAATTGCACTTTTAGAAATCTATTCTAGGAAATACCAGGGCGACCAGAGACGTGCGTATGGGACGGTTTGTGAAGGGTGAGGACTGAAAATTGGAGTGTCCCATCGACAGGGAAGTGGATCTGCAGATGGAAACACGCGGGCTTTTAAAATCGTGGTGCAGAGCACGGTTAGGGCAGGTGGCGGGTCACAAAACCGTACGGATGCTCAAATCCGTTTCGTAAGGAGTGAAATGCAGAGAAGAGGCTGAAAGGAAAACACATCAAAATGCTCACAGTGGTGACCCAACCTGCAGGCGCTCAGGGAGGTGCGGCTGGAAATGCCGGGTACCAGGCCAGGTGCTCTCCAGGTGATGCCCTCTGCCCTTCAGTCACAGGCCCACCTCGGACCTGGGTGCGCCGCAGCCTCTCCCGTCACCTGGAGGGTGGGACCTGGTCGGGGCCATGACTTTTGTTCCACTCCTCAGACGACAAGCTCAGAGTACAGAAGACACATGAACACGAAAGTGATTTCATTTATTCACCCCGTATTTCCTGAATACCCACCATCAGTCAAGGACGTTCCTGGATACCAAAGGATAAAACCCAATCACGCTGAAACCGAGTATGCAGGCAGCAGTAAGGAATACAGATTCACGAACCAGCCCTGTCCTCAAGGAACCGGCCGCCAATCACACAGACAACCACACGGGGGGCGCCTCGGGGGGTGCGGTACGGCCAGAGCACGGCGAGAGGCGACAGATGAAGAGACGAGGCAGGCAAGGGGCAGATGAAGGGATGACATCTCATTTGGGGCCCCCAGAAGGTTGTAACACGATATAAGACTGACACTTGAGAAAGCTGAATTTGGAGGGAACGAAGATGAACAAAACTTGGTACGACACCAACACAACCGAGCAAGACAAACACGCGAAAGCAACCCACGGCGGCACGTGCGGCAGCAGGCGGGCGGGCGTGCAGCATGACAGCTGACAGCAGCGCGCGAGGGACGGTAATTTTCTGGCGGCTGGGGATGGGAAGGCTTCCTGGAGATGAGTTTCCTCCTTCAGAATCTCGCACAAGGCGGGTTTAAAACTGAGCGGCAGCTGGGTGCCTCGCTCCAGGCTCCTTATCCAAAGAGCTACGTTCCAGCCCAGGGCTCCTCTCAGGCCAGGCGGTGAAGGAGACGAGACCCTAAGAGCTGGCTGGCTCTCCTCCAGCCTGGACGCCCCGCCGAACACGGAAGCAACACCGTGATGGGGACAGCCGGCCCTTAGAAACCGGGCGTCGGTTACACAGATGCCCTCTGTCGGCAAAGCAACCTGATCGGCTGCGTTACAGAACGTGCACCAGCCCACTGCAGACGGCTTTCAGCCTTTGCCCCTTGGTTCTGACCTTCCCATACTGGAGGGCTACAACGCTCGCAGCTTAAGGACGCTCACCAGACGCCCCCATCCCATCTCTACGGAGAGCACAGCAGACCAGGGACGAAGACCACTCCCGTGCTGCGATGGCCCCCAGGGTCTTCACCCCACAGGGACAAGGAGCCTCACGTAACAATAGCTTCCACTCGAGTAGGGGAGCTTGCACGTGCACACGCACACGCACACGGCTTCATCTTTACAACTGCGGGGTTTTACAGATGAGGAAACAGGTTCAGAGACGTCTGCTGAACGATGCGACTGATGCTTTGTAGTCCGTGAGGCAGATGGCCAACTCCGGGACAGTGTCCACATCCATAAACGTGGGGTTTGGCAAGATGGGTGACTTTTAAATCTTTGGGTTATCACAGACACCAATAAAACTTAGGAAATGTTCTGGATCATCTCTTCAGGAAAAGGTATCGTTACGCAATTTTCCATACAGATTTTGGGATGCATAGACTCCTTCACCTGTCCATAGACCCAACACACCAAATAAAATAGTCCTGGCCTAGATGAGCTTAAGTTCCCAGTAAATACAATGGCCCTGAATATGACTCGTGTTAGTATGTGGGGCTCTAAGCCACGAGTCTTAGCATCCCTTCGGAGCAGCTACCCCACCGTGAATAGGCTGATCGCTGCCAACGGGCTTCCGTAAGTGCCACCTGAGCTCCGATCATTATTTTTCACCGGCAGAGGACAGGTACCTGGAACCCCAGAGCCGTGGAACTGGATGGCGTCTCGGACTCTTGGAGTCCACGTCCCCATCCCTCACGATGACTTCCTTAGAGACCGAGGGCCACCAACCCCTACTGGAACCCTTCCAATGACCGGCTCACCAGCTAACGTCTCCCGCTTATCTGAGTCAAAACCTGCTCTCCTGAAACTGCCCTCTGGAGAGCCAGATGGTGTGTCTCACTTCCTCATCCCAGAGGGAGCCGCCTCGGAAATGCCTTCTCCCACCCTGCCCGGGCCGAGACGTCCTGCGTCCTTCCGATGTCCTCCTCCAAGGTATTCACCGCTAAGATCTCGAGGTTCCTCTTAAAACGCTGCATTTAAGAATGGGACACCCGTCTCCTTTTTTGGAAGAACTACACACTTCCCTAAGGTCACCTGTGACTCATCCTTGAGCACGCCTGTCATGTACTGGCTCCTACTGAACTTGTGATCGACCAACCCCCACTCCCTCCGCCGAGTTTTCTCATTAAAATCGCTAGGGCTCAGCCAGATGACGCCAGCACGTCGTCACAGCAGGACTGCGTGGTTCTCCGCACTGTGATCTCATTCACATCGTGCTCGTGTGCCTGAGAGTGGTGCCATGGTCACAGTGCCACTAGGAAGCAGACCTGGTTTTCGGTCTCAGCTCCTCTGCTGGCTACACAATCCTTGGTCAATGGCTACTCAGTGACCTCGTCTGTAGATGGAGTTACTGACAGTACCTAACTCACAGAGTTGTGAGGATTAAATTGATGTGAAATATTTATTTAGCACAGTGCTTGGCTTATAGTTAAGTACTTCTTGAGTGTCAGATTATTATTATTTTCCCGCTCTCAAGGTCACGATTGACATAGATGTACCTTCTTTCTTGCATCATGTTAAATCTCCCGCTCTCTCATCACAGGTTGGTACACACATATTTTGCATCCTGAGTTTTACCGTCTGAAGGTTCCGTCACAAGCATTTTGCTTCTTGTTGCTACATAACCACAACTCCATCAGCAGCTGGATACTAGGTTGCTTAGAGGAGGCTTTCCCTTTTCGCTACAGTAAGCAATGTAACAATCCAACGAGCGACTTGTGCATCTTCCATTTTTATTTTTCTTGGTGTGCACTGCCTAATTGCGTTCCAAAACCTCTGCGCCAGTTTTCGATGCTGCAGCGAAGTAGCAGAATGCCAGTTTCACCACATTCTTGCCAAACACTGGCGATTACTGTGATTTAGTCATCTTCTCATGTAACAGGTAGAAAATCATGCCAGATGTTGTATCTTCTTAATGCACAATGAAACGTCACTTCCTAAACTATTACACACGTATTTTTTAAACTGCTCTATCCTAATTACAGTTGACACCCAAACAACACAGGGGCCAGGAGCTCCAACCCCCACGCCACGCAGGCAAAAATCCACGTATAGTTTCTGACTTAACTACTGTCCCTTGATATCCTCAGGGGACTGGTTCTATCTAAGACCCCCAGTGGATATCGAAATCCACAGATGTTCCAGTCTCTTATATAAAATGGTGTAAAACAACGCACAGTCAGCCGTCCACATCCATGGATTCCCAATTGGCAGCTGGTTGAATCCGCAAATACAAAACCTGGGGATACTGAAGGCCGACTGTATATTTATTGAAGAAACCCGC